GGCTTGTGTTTGGGATAAAAAGGATTTAGAATTATAATGCCTCTATCATATTAAAGAATTGCACATAAGTTGGACAACAGATAAGAGAATTAAGACTGTTCTGAAGAGAAACTAGCATAGGAGGTAATCACACAATTTAAAAAATTTAAGGCCTAGAATACTTCCAACAAGGTTATCTCTCTTACAGTCCTGTTCACAGAGCCTCACTAAAGACTTCAGTTGTTCTCAATGCATTAAATCACTTCTCTCTAGGATGGCTTTTAGAATTTTAATCAATAAAAAATAATCACAACCAACATTGGACTTAAAAAATTCATGCAAGTATCAATGCAATCAAGATGACAATTTTAATGAAAAACAGGAGTCAAGAATTTAAATTCAGAAAAATTTTCAATTAAGTGGGCATATTCAAGATGTTAGCTAATCAATCAGTTCATTCTCCCCCCCACACTTAAATAAAATATTGTCCTCAATGTTACAGAAAGTAAAGAAAAGAGAAAGAAAGTAGTACTCCCCTGCTTTATATTTCTGATTATGATATAGAGTTCTTCCTTAAGTCTCTTCAATAATACATCATCTTTCTACAAAAAATTTGGAGCGAGGTCCTTGTGGAAAAAATTATGGGGATAATAGACAATAAAATGAAATATGAACAAATTAAGGAAAATAAACAAAATAAAATAAAATAAATGAAAACTTATTGGGTTGCCTCCCAACCACCGCTAAACTTAATGTCTATAGCTAGACGCAGCTGTAGTAGGTTTAGACTTCATTAAGAGAGATGGATTTTGATGTCTCAACTTAGACTCCTTCATAATATAACTTTGACCATTGTCCATTAACCACAAATGTCCTTCTATCATTAGCTTGAACTTCAACAGCTCCATACGGCTTTACATCTATAACTTCAAAAGGTCCAGACCACCTTAATCTCAACTTACCTAGGAATAGTTTCAAGTAGGAGTTAAATAGTAAAACTTTTTGCCCAACTTTAAATCCTCTCTTTAGAATTCTTTTGTCATGCCAATCTTTAGTTCTCTCCTTGTATATACGAGCATTCTCAAAGGACTCCCTTCTAATTTCATCTAACTCATTGAGTTGGAGAACACACTTGTCACCTGCAGCTTTCAAATCATAGTTTAAAGCATGCACAGCCCAATATGCTCGATGCTTAATCTCTATAGGAAGATGACATGACTTGCTATATACTAGTCTATAAGGGGACATACCTAATGGTGTCTTATATGTAGTTCTGTATGCCCACAATGCATCATTCAACTTTATAGACCAATCTTTCCTAGATGCACTTATAGTTTTTTCCAATATTCCCTTTAGCTCCCTATTAGAGACTTCTACTTGGCCACTAGTTTGAGGATGATATGTGGTGCTTGCTCGAAGATGACACCCATATTTGCCTCATAAGGATTTGAATTGGTGATTCCTAAAATACACCTCATTATCACATATGATGGCTCTAGGGAGACCAAATCTAGAAAAAATCTATTTAACAAATTTGACCACGTTAGATACTTTGTTATTTGGCAATGCAACAGCTTCTACCTATTTAGTAACATAATCAACAATAACAAGTATATAGAGATTATCGTAGGAGGGAGGAAAAGGCCCCATAAAGTTAAGGCTCCAAATATCAAAAGGTTCAACCTCTAATATACCTTATTGGGTCATCTCATGCCTCTTGCCAATGGTACCTGTTCGTTGGCATTTGTCACAAGTTGTCACAAAGGTCCTCGCATGCTTGAACAGTGTAGGCCAATAAAACCCACTTTGAAGTACTTTAGCTGCCATCCTATCAGCAGCATGGTGGCCTCCATAAGGTGATGAATGGCATCCTTTAAGAATTTGGACCATCTCCTCATTTGGCACACATCTCTGTATGATCCCATCTGCACACCTTCTAAATAGAAGTGGCTCATCCCAAAGGTAATGTCTTGCTTCTGCTGGGAATCTCTTCCTTTGATAATTATTCATACTATCAGAGACTATACCTGTAACAACATAATTAACAAAATCTGCAAACCAAGGAGCAGGTAGAGATTTAACCATCCAAAGTCTCTCATCTAGGAATTCTTCATTTATAGGAGTATTATTTTGGGGTAGATGTTTTAGTCAAGAGAGATGATCTGCAACTAGATTTTCTGCAACCTTTTTATCTCTAATTTCAACATCAAATTCCTATAAAAGAAGAACCCATCTAATCAATTTAGCTTTAGCATTTTTTTATTCAATAGATAGTTTAGAGCTTGGTGGTCAGTATAAACAATCACTTTAGAATAAGAAAGATAGGATCGAAATTTTTCAAATGCAAAAACCACAGCAAAAAATTCTTTTTTAGTGGTAGCATAATTATGTTGTGCTCCAAGACTCTATTGGCATAATAGATGACATGTAAGCTCTTGTTCCTTCCTTGACCTAAAACAGCCCCTATAGCGAAATCAGTAGCATCGCATATAATTTCAAAAGGGAGACTCCAATCAGGGGGAACAATTATAGGAGTACAAACAAAAGCATATTTTAATTTATTAAAAGTACTGAAACAAGCATCATCAAAAATAAAAGGGGTATCCTGCACAAGAAGGTTAGTGAGAGGTTTAGCAATTTTAGCAAAGTCCTGAATGAATCTTCTGTAAAAGCTTGCATGACTAGGAAACTCCTTATGCCTTTTACTGAGGTGGGTGGAGGCATATTTTCAATAGTTTTAACCTTTGCCTTATCCACCTCAATCCCTCTTTCAGAAGCTTTGTGGCCTAGGACTATACCTTCGTTCAACATAAAGTGACATTTTTCCCAATTAAGTACAAGACGCGTCTCTTGACATCTCTGTAAAACTTTAGAAAGATTAGTCAAACAAAAATCAAAAGTATCACCAAATACAGAGAAATCATCCATAAAGATTTCAATTATGTCCTCTACCATATCCGAAAATATAGCCATCATACATCTTTGGAAAGTAGCAAGGCATTACAAAGCCCAAAGGGCATCCTACAATAAGCATAAGTACCATAACAACAAATAAAAGTTGTTTTCTCTTGGTCTTCTGGTGCTATTAGTATTTGAAAATACCCAGAGTAACCATCTAGAAAACAATAATAACTATGCCCTGCTGTTGTTTCCAACATATTATCGATAAATGAAAGAGGGAAGTGGTCTTTACGCGTTGCTTTATTTAATTTTCTATAATCTATACAAATGCGCCACCCAGTTACCACTCTTGTAGAGAGAAGCTCATTCTTATCATTTTTTTTACCACAATTATACCTCCCTTCTTTGGGACTACTGGCATTGGACTCACCCAAGAATTGTCAGAGATAGGATAAATAATACCTGAATTAATCAGTTTCAAAACTTCTGCTATGACTACTTCCTTCATATGTGGCTTAAGCCTTCTTTATTGTTGCACCTTAGGTGTGTAATTTTCCTCTATAAGGATTCTATGTGTACAAATGGAGGGGTTGATGCCCTTTATGTCAGTTATAGAAAATCCAATAGCCAACTTAAACTCCCTCAGGAACCTTAACAGCTTTTCTTCTTGTTTAGAATTTCAACCAAAGAAACTATAACAGGAAAAGTGTTAGAATCACCTAAAAATGCATATTTTAAATGATAGGGCAGGGGCTTCAATTCAACAGAGGGTGGTGAGTCTGGGGAGGGGAGGGGCAATAAATTGCCTAATCCTAGATTTTCATAATGCCCTGTATGATGTTTATTTTCAATTTCAAAAGCATCCAAACTCATTATTGTCTCTATAAACTCATCCTCCCTTTCTTTTTTATTTAAGCTTAGTGTGATGTATGCCTCGAGAGGATCACTGTATGAGTACCTATTAAGATGTTCTTGGGCTAGTGTATCAATAACATTAATGCTAAAAACATTCTCATCAAACTAAGGAAACTTTGTAGCTTTAGATACTTGAAATAATTCGTTTTGGTCACCTACTCGAAAGAGTAATGTTCCTTCACATACATCATTCAAAGTGCCACCAATTACTAAAAATGGCCTCCCTAATATTAGAGAGATGTTCCAGTTATTCTCAATATCTAAAATAATAAAATCAGCAGGAATATAAAGTTTACCGACTTTAACTATGATATCTTTAACCACACCTCATGGATATCTAATTGACCTATCTGCAAGCTGGAGGGTCACATTGATCGGTTTAATATCTGTCATCCTAAGCTTTCTGCATAAAAAATAAGGCATCAAATTAACAGTAGCACCTAAATCACATAAACAATTTTCAATAATATTAGAACCAATATCACAAGGAATAGTGAAACTCCATGGATCTTTCAATTTGGGTGGTAGCTTCTTCTGTATAATTGCACTGCACTCCTCTGTAAGTGGCACTGTGGCATAATCTTCCAACCTTTGCTTGTTTGAAACTATATCCTTGATGTATTTGAGATAAGAAGGGCTTTTTGCTAAGGCTTAATTTGGATATTTCTTAACATCTTGAGAAACCTTTAGAAGCCTGAATCTTGATCTTTCTTTCTAAGACGTTTAGGATATGGGATAGGAGGTACATAAGGGTTGAGTCCAGATGGAGAAGGACTACTTTGAATCACATTATTAGCTTTGGGAACTTCAATTACCTCATCATCATCTCCAGTATTCTTCTTATCACTTACCTTATTATAAGTCTTTTTAGGCCCAATGTGAGCTTCTTGAAGTTCTTTACCATTCTGTAAGGTGATTGCCATGATTCCCTCCCTTGGATTGACTTCAGTATTGCTAGGGAATTTATTTTGACCCTATCCAATAAGCAACCTAGACAAATTGCTTATTTGAGCTTCCACGTTTTTCATAGAGTTTCCCATCTGTGACTCTATGTTTCTTACAAAAGCTTGAGTTGATGCAACTGCTTGCTTGAGTTGGTCAATTTCTTGATTCATTTTCTTTATGTGGTTAGCTTGGTGAGTGGCCATTTGAGTTAAAGCTTCCTCCAACTTTGTTGTGCGATCCTCGATTATGTTTCTTTGCTGTTAGAAACCTGGTGGTGCTTGTGGCCTTTGAGGGGTAGAATTTTTCCAAGCGAAATTAGGATGATTTCTCCACCCTGGATTATATGTGTTGGAGTATGGGTCATTTTTGGGATTGCCACCCATATAGTTAGCCTCCTCCACATAATCACCATTATTTCCTGCATGAAGAGAATTATTAATAGATGAAGTAGAAAGGGAATTGACAGGATTAAAATTTTTCACTAATAAATTCAAACTCTTTGTTAAATCCCTTAAGTCAAGAGAGAGGTCTGAAGTAGTGACTTCGTTAGCCACTGCCCTTCTTCCTTAAATTGACTTTTGCCTTGAATTTGATGCTAGAGTCTTGCAAATGTCCTCTCTTTCTTCAGCTATCATGTTATTTGGATCCCTATGAGCTGTATTATTGACTTTGCTTTGATTGTCCGATGTGAGCCCATTATAGAAAAAGTCCATTAAGAGTATATATGGGAATTGATGATGAGGACAATGGCTAATAAGGAGATTATACCGCTCCCATGCTTCATGGAATGACTCATCAGCTTGTTGCATGAAGAAGTGAAGCTTGTCCCTTAACTCTAAAGTCTTTTGTGGTGAGTAATATTTTAGCATAAATTGCGCATACATTTGATTCCAAGATGTTATAGAACCTTTTGGTAAGCACAGAAGCCATTGAAGAGCACCTCCCTTTATACAGTACGAAAAGCAACGCAACTTCAAATCGTCATTTGATAAGCCATTCAACAGCAATGTGTCAATTACTGCATAATACTTCCTTATAAAATCCAATGCATCTTCAATTGTATGCCCATTAAAATTAGATAGTGCATTTAGATGCATATTTTTAAATTCATAATTGCGCGTAGCAGTGCTTAGCTTAATGCAAGATGGATTAGAAGTAATAAAGGGGGCATTAAATATCATGAAACGTGATATTTTGCTCTGGAACAATAGCACCCTCAACAATCTTTCTTCTTCGTTGACTTCTATTTTTTCTGCAAAACTGTTCAATTCCTAAATTAATAGGAGTCAAAGTAGAGTTACCAGAACTTCTTAATTGCATAAAAAACAAAAATTAAAATAAGATAAAGAGAAAACATAAAAACAAAAATTAATAAAAAATAAAGAAAAATAAAATTTGAAGAATTAGTAAATCTGTAGCCTCCCCGGCAATGGCGCCAAAAACTTGATCGCTCTCGCAAGTGTACAGGCTTGATGTAGTAAAAATCCTAGAGTAATCTAGGGTCGTACCCACAGGGAGGTTGCATTTTTACTAATCCAAATAAGTAACAATGAGAATAGATGAATTGATTGATGAGATACAATGAAATAATAAATTAAAAGCAGGAGAAAATCAAATATAAGAGGAAAATTAATCACTTAAAGCTTTGGGGTTGAGGATTTATTCTACGAGTTGCTAGTTTCTATCCTTTGAATTGACTCTTTAATTTATTATAGTGACAACTATTCCTAAAGTGTCCTAATATTCTCCCGAATTATTAGTCCTTATTTAATTAGAGTTGAATTCATTCCCACGATACCCAAACAACTAATTAAACCTTGAAGCTATCATCTTAAGTCACCATAAATATCTAGAACTATCCCTAGCCTAAATGTTTATGTCTATTTCTCTAGATCTAGGTTCTCTCTTCACCTCCCAATCCATCAAGATCACCCATAATTTAGATCAATGGTGGCCAGTCATAAAATCCACATGAAGAATAAGAGAAATAGATATAAAAATCAAAAGATATTCATAAAAGCCATAAAAAGAGTCAAAACAGAACTGATAAAACTCCAAGCTGGGTTACATCCCTACCTAACTAGGAAATTTAGAAACTCATAATGAAATAAACCATAAATAGTATTATTCTAAGATCTCCAAACATGACAGAACAAATGAAGAAGAAAAGAGGAATAAACTGTCAAGGATCTAATAGAGGTCCCTTGCTCAGCTGTTGCTGTCACAGGATGAACCAAGATAGTAACTTCACTGATTCGCTATCACAAACAATGCTCTGTTGCTGCCTCTGGGAATACTCTCTGATGCTTGCTTTCTCGTCTCCTCCGATCCTATTTATAATGGTTTTGCATCTTCTCTCCCTTGAATCCACGTCCTCTTATCCATATATCTTCAATATAATATAATATATTAGATGATTTGCCTTATGTTACTGCTGCCACCGTTATCCTTTTATCTCCTTCCTTGTATTCAATCAATATAATATAATATATTATATCATTGCAATTGGTTCATTTTTTGAGTCCGCATGCCTCACGCTTAGAGCTGGTAATACACGGGCTTAACCCGCCAACCCTCCAAGAAGTGGTAAGTTGGGTTGATGAAAATCAGGCTCATTTTAAAACAGATCTTTTGAGCCAATAACCTCTAAGACTGAACTCGTAGCGGCTAACCCGCAGGGTTGGCAGGCCGGCCTATGTTATTTTTAAAATTTTTTCCCTCCCTCAAATATAATTATGTTTACTTCTTTGGTCTTTTATCTCATTCTTATTATTTAAAATTACCATAATATAATATATATTTTACTTTGTATTATAAATTTTACTTATAGCAAAGTTAGTTGAGCAAAAAGAAGATGATTCTACTTATGAAGCTCAACCAAATAATTTCACATCTTCATATAATTGTTTGAATTATATCAACATTGAATAGTAGCTCATGGTTGAGTGCTTGATAGTGATTTGTAACATTGTTTTTGTATTATTATTAATTTAGATTTGTTATGTTTTAATTTGGGATGTATGTTTAATCATTTAGGATGATGTATCATGTATGCTTATAGTAGTATTTTGGAATGTTTAAAACTTTGGATTTCGTATTTTATTTATGATAATTTCTATATGTATATTTTATTTTAGATGTTTAAGAATTAGAATAAATTTTATTAAAAGAAAACAAAAGGCACAAAAATTTTTTTTTTAAAAAAGTGGCGGGTTGGCAGGCCTAACTCGCCAACCCGCCCTGGTGGGTTGGGTTGGAAAAATATCAGCTCACTAGAAGTCGGTCTTTTTAGGACCGGCCCATCAGTCCTTGAGCCCGCCACAGGCCAACCCATAACCGGCGGGTTGACTCGTATTATCGGCTCTACTCACACCTCTAAGCAAATATTACTCCCCTTTTATTTTATCTTTTATTTGTGATATTTTCTTCTCTCAATAATTTTATATCTCTTGCAGTAAGGATAATAAAAGATTTGAGTAGATTTATTGTAAGATCATCTTTTATCCTATAATTGATAAAAGAGAGGAAAATCTACAAAAGATAATTAAATAGATATAAGATATCTAGAAATTTAACCAAATAAATCAAAATATAAATCTTTTTAATTATAAAATATAGACTTATCACACAGTACTTTTGTCATCTTGAGCCTTTATGTAGAATAAATACTCATTTTATATTATATCCACTCTAAGTGCTAAGCTCAAAACAAGGTCCCCAACCTAACCATTTTATTGTCTCAGACACACTTATTTTATTCAATATCTTTTCTTTGAATCATGCTATAAATATTTTGTGCTTATTAGCAATTTACATATCACTTTTATTTAGATACTTTTTTTTTCAAACTCTTTTTTTATTTAAGATGTATAAATGTGCTTGTAACACTTCATCATGACACATATTCTTCACTTTAAGCCCTCATGTTGTACATCTTACTTTTATGCCTCATTTTACCTCAGTTGGAAGCATTTGGTCATTCTTTATGGCCTTAGGTTGGAAAAAAAATTCAAACTTTAAATTTTCCTAAATTTGGGTTACTGTTCATTACAATCCTTAGAAAGGCCAAACTTTAAAAATTCATAATTAATTCTAAAAAAGTTTGAAATAAGATGGTTCTAAGTTTTATGGAAAGTTCTTGACATACTCTTTAAAAGACAAATATCATTGATATCTAGAACTTATGTATCAATCTCAGTTTCGTTCAAAGTGGTACTATTTATTTAGTCATTTTTTTTATTTTTTAGGATTTATGCCCAATTTTGGAGGGGCATAACTTTCTATACAAAACTCCAAATTTGATGGATTACTACTTGTTTTAAAGATAAAAATGAGATCTATAAGCATGCCAAATTTTAGCTCAAAACTCATCTAATTGCTTAAAATCACATTGGTCAAACTTGACCCTTAAAAAGTCAACTTGTATCCCTTTTTCATGCAATTCTTGATTTCTCTTTTCTTTTCCTTCCAGATAACCTTGCCAATCATATAATACATGCTTAAACATGATTCCTTGATAAGTTACCCACATATAAAGCATCTTTAATCATTGATGTAACATTCCAACGTAATCCATAAATATACATAACAATACATAATAAATTACAAAAACATATACATAGGGCGTAAGCAATATCTATATCCTTTTATAACATAATCCTTCCATCGAAATACTATCTCCCTGTCCTTTAACACATCCCTCGAGGTTTCTATTGATTGTTTATACATTGAAAGGAATGAGATTTCATAGAAATCCTAGTAGCAGGAATTACAATAAAAATGTCAAACATGCAAGGTATGTTACATATATATTCATGAATATTCTATGCTATGCAAAATCATCACGATCCACTAAATAACACATTAATACATGTATCCAAGGCATACAATGCAATAAACTAACATATCATCTTCATCAAGTAATCTCAAACATAACATAACAATTATTCATGCAATTATATTATGTAACAACCAAGCAAGTTAACATTATAAATTATGAATTCCATGCTACCTCTCATAGTCTAAGATTCTTGGCCTCTTTGATTCCCTTGGTTCCTTCTTGTTCCTTTGCACAATACCTATCAATTCATGCATAAACACATCCTAATTTATCAATAATTCAAGCATAAACACTAATGCTTGATATTAAGCTTAATTAAACTCTTTTTTCCTTAATTGTTGATATCGTTTTTCCCTTTTTGTTTTCATCAATCTCTTAGTCCATTCCTATGCAATTTTTCATGTGGAATCCAAATATCAAATCAGATTTTACAAAATCACATTCCTCCCTCTTCATTTAATATTGGCCGAATAGGGGTAGTATATGTTCCGAAAATTTTATTTTTGATTTTAATGATTTTGAACACTTTCCCTTGGTGTTTTCCTACACAAAAACACCTTTTGAACTCATTGGAACCATCAAAACACATCAAAACAAACTCCTACCTCATGAACATGTCATGGCCAAATTACCCCCCTTTTAGAAACCTAATTTGATTTTCTTCCAAAAATCAATCCAAACATCAATTAAACTTATAGTTCCAAGCGCTAAATCATGGTTTCTATCCATTACTAATCATTCTTCATGTATATCAAAATTTGGCACCAATTTCACCTTAGGTTACAACTTAAATTTTCAACTAAAACAAGCTTTAATCTTAACCAAAACAAAACTCAAACTTACCTCAATCAACCCTTGATCAAAACTTGGTGTTTTTTTCCTTCCAATTACATGGTTGGAGACTCTCTTCCAAGGTCAAGAATTCAGTTTGGCAGCACTTCCCCTTATTATTTTCTATTTGGCTAAATATTTTCAAATTGAGAGGGCATTTATAGGCCAAAAAATCTGATCTCTTCCCCTCATCAATGGCTAAAATTTGCCACCAAAATTGGCCATGTGGCTACCATCAAGCCCTCCAATTTCCAGATCATGCCATGTGTCTAGTCTCCAGAACATTCCTACTGATATTTTGCTGAAATTGGACTTAAATCCAATTAATTATTGAGCCACTATTTTGCACAAAATTTTGAGCTTTTCTTGGCTCAAAATAA